CTAGGAAGAAGACCAAATCCATGAAGAAGAAGACGAACCAACAAAGTCGAATGGAACCTCACAATCGCAACGATACTGAGAACTATCGAGAAGGAGCACAACCGGAAAGAAGCAAACAACATGGTAAACAACCAAGCATAATCATGGCATGATGCACAATCAAGTATGATGCATGTCCGGTTTAATGAGGCATGGCATGACAAAGTGCACAAACAAAACTACAAGTTAAGTGGAGCTTAATATGCAACGAGTTGCATATTGACGAAACACCACATTCGATTATTTAGTTCACTCCCGTTTAGGTACTCAACAATATTAAATGTTGTTAAACATGGCAAAAGGTGAAGCATAATTAAACTAACTATTTAAAGCAAGTTTAAATGAGGTCAGAAACATCAAACAATAATTCTGGTAAATCCTCATGTGCAAATAGCAATTTAATGCAAACAATAATTTTAAATGTTATTATCATGATGCGGATGACATATGCAAGTTTTATGCAATTTTTGTTAAAAGTTGACATGAACATGATATGAAGCATTTGGTCGCCATGACGGAATGAAAGGGGTGCCATGGCGGTGATAACGAAAATGATGCCAAGGCATTGTTCCGATTCCGACAACTCGTTGAGATGTCGGTGAAAAAGAAACATGGGATGCATGGAATGTGCAATGCAACGGGGAGTGATCCCGGATACCGGGTGTCCCATGTGTCGGTGTCATGGAAAACGAGGGACGTGGACGAAACAAACGGGCACGGTGCAAACATGTGGTTCATCTCATACATCACACAACATTCGTCCACGGCGGTCGTCTCGACGTTATACCTTCCAAGGGTGCATTTTCAGAGCAGTTTGAGTTCATTGCGGGAAGTAGTGGTTCACGAGCCGTAGTGGAAGTAGTCATTCTCGCGACGGTAGTGGAAGTAGTGGTACACGACGACGGTAGAGGTACTCGCTATATTGGCGACGGTAGTCGTACATGGTTCGTTTCGGATAGGAACTTGACGAATCCGAGTAACTTGGGGTCGACGGTGGTCGTTCACGTCCGTAGCCGCACAAGTTTTCATAGACGTTCGGGGTCACGACGAGGAGCTTGACGTCCATGGAGTTTTCGAGGGTCGACGGTAGTGGTACTTGGCAAAATGCACGTCGACGGTAGTTGTTCTCGTATTGTCGTGGAAGTAGTCGTTCACTTAACGGTCTTACCGGAACCTCTTCAGCGGTAGAGATCCACCTTGGCGTTCTGAAGGGGTACTTGGTGTCGTGGTACTTGCGTGTCCTCTTGGTATCGACGGAGATGAAACGGTGCAACGACGGTCATGCGCGATGAGGCCCCGGTCTTGCAAGACTTGGCATTGAACATATAAAGGATGAGGGAATGCGCCCAACTAGCGGCTATGGCCACGTCTCTTTTTTTGCATCTATAAATAATGGGAGGAAGGGATAAGCCACGAGCGCTGCGTTCGGCTGGATAAGCCCCGAGCGCTCTCTTCCCCCTTTCCTCTCCCTCGTGCTCTCCTTTCCTCGCCGCCGCCACTCCATCCTAGCCGCCTCCTCTCCTCGTCGAACCAGCCGCCTCCTCCCCATCTTCACGTGCAGCCTCCTCTCCCTCAAGCCCCGCCTCCTTCCCACCCGGGCTTCGCCTCTTCGGGCGGCGGGACGCAGTGGCTGTGGTGATGGCAGATGGGGCGACAACGGCGGCGCTCCTCCTCTCCCATGGCCGAGGACGGCGGTGAGGGGCAAAGGGGCGATGTCATTCTCCCCCCTCAGCGCGTGCGTCAGAGACGGACGAGGAGGCCGAGCAGTCCGTCATGCCGTCGACGCCGTCCTCGCCTGCCAAGGTCTGGATCCTCCTCCCCCTTCCCTCATGGCGGCGCCTGGATCCTCCTCCCACTTCCCTTCCATGGCGGCACACGGACCTGCCGCATCTTCCTCATCGTCAGTCCGAGGAAGAGGAGTGGCAGCAGCCAGACGCGCCTCGTCCGTGTCGCGTGGTGGCCCAGATGCGTCCGCCCCGTGCTCTGCGGTGCCCGTCTCGCCCGTCTATGGCCGGAGAAGGAGGGGAGGACTGGATGCCAGCCGATCTGGAGGAAGAAGCGGAGACACGGACCTCGCCTTCCTATTGAATTGCTTTTGTTTGTACAACATGGATTTTTCAAAATTAGTTGCTTACATTGTGAATAATTCTATCAACTTTTAGTTCAAAAGAATCTGCCGCGGTGTAAAGAGTTCTTTGTGATGTTGCATGATGTTCTGATTTTGAACTTGAACGTGCTAACTAAATTTTGCAGTGCAAATTGAACTTTTCAAATTAACTGAATTAACTGAAGTTTATGGATTTCTCGAAAAGGTAAAGCACTACCTCAGTATTTCTGTGTTAGAGGGTGCCCCTGTTGTTTCTTGGTATCATTACTAGCAAGTGTCATATGAGGTGTGTGTGCCTTGCCTGCCATCATGATTCCTGAGGTGTGTGTTTACCTTTGTTTCAAGAAGGTAAACCACACAAAGGAAATCTATGTACCATAAAAAAGAGGATGTGCATGTGTCTTGTAGGGTTGATGGATTGATTGAGCACCACACAAAGTAAGTAGTTTGGGGAAAAGAATGATGTTGGACTACTAAAATCAAAGAAAATATTCCATGAATTTTGACACTGGAATGGCTTGTAAATGGTGCAGTGCCATCTTATCTCTAGAACAGCTTAAAAATGGTGTGCAGAGGTTTCTTAGGGAGTGTTTGGTTTCCTGGTTTGTATGTGGCTCGCACCCGCCATGCAAAATTTGGATGGTTTGGTAGGCTGCATGGGCTGGTGAGCCTGGTCCGTGGATGCAAAAGGAGGCCTACCAGCCAAGCCGAGCGAAACGCAAGTTTCTCGCGTTTCTCGCATGCAGGCTCTGGTTCGTTCGCTTTTCTTCTACTATCTTTCATCTCTTCGCCGCTAGACCAAACGCCGCCGTTGTCGTCCTCAACCAACGGTCGCCGCCGTCCTCGTCAAACTCTGTTGTCCTCGTTCAACCTCCACCAAGCGCTGCCATTGTCCTCGACCAAACGTCGTCGTCGTCGTCGCCGCCGCCGTGGTCCTCGACCAAGTGCTGTCGCCGTCGTCGTCCACGACCAAGGGTAGCCGCGCGCCGCCATCGTCCTCGATAAGTGTCTTCGCCGTCGTCCTCGACCAAGGGTAGCCGCTGCCGTCCTCGACCAAGTGGCGTCACCGTCGTCGTCGTCGTCCTGGACCAAGCGTCGCCGCCGCCGCTGTCCTCGACCAAGTGCCGTCGCCATCGTCGTCGACCAAGCGTTGCAGCCACCGTCGACCTCGACCAAGCATCGTTGCTGCCGTCCTCGTCCTGCCGTCTGGAGCCGCCGAGCTCCGGGTCTCGTCGCCCGGCGCTGCTGCGTCATAGCGTTCCTCACTGAAGGAAACGATCGGTTGCATTTGCACGGTGACTCGCGGCAATATCGGTCGAGTCTGCACAACTCGGCCAATCTATCTCCTCTGTTTCAGTTCAAGTGTGCGAGATAGCTGGAGCAGTGCAGTTTTGGTCATGACTGGCGGCTCGAGCGATGGATTACGTATTAGCCATCTGTCGCTGAAGTAGCTAGCAAACAATGATATGTCAAGCCCAACAAAATTCAGAAAAACCTGCTCGTAGTGCAGCAATATCATGCAAGTTCACCAAACACCCATCTCTACTCATCCTTGCATCAGCCCAACCAGGCCAGGCTCACCCAGGACGCCCCATGCAATGCAGCCTGTAGCTACGCAAGCAATCAAACACGCCCTTAGTTCTTGTACTGCACCCCATTTTTTAGAAATTGAAAGTACTCCAGTGTCCAGTGTTAGCTAAGAGCTAAGATGAGTACAAGAATTTTCTGTAGAGATTGTTGCAAGGAGACATCTCTGTCCAGTATTAGCTAAATTTTATTGGTCTCGGCATTGGTCTATCTATGCATTGATCTCACATCTTATTTTCAGAACATTTGAGTACTCTTCAAATATGCATGCACTGCATATTTTCAGTGATAGTATGAAAATATGCATACACTGTACAGCAGCATATTGAAAACACTCATGTTTTAGTATAACTGAATTTTCATACACTCTGCACTTCTTCTATAGCTAAATTTTCTGTTACATACACTCTGCACTTCTGCTTTAACTGAATTTATTTTTCAGGTTTTATACATCAGCCTACTGAAAACATTCAGTTATTGACAAATCATGACATTACAATCTGACAAATCATGCATGCAAAATCTGACCAAGTGTAAAAGCTTGTCAAAGCTCTCATTCCTTGTTATGTTATAAACTGAATGCCAAGATAGATTTCTCAATGTACAAATTGTTTGCACTTTCCAAGCACTGAAATCTGTATATTTTAGATAAAGTAGCATTTGCCAGTAGAAGTCATGGTTGGATCAACATATTTTTCCACTGAAATCCCTTTTTAATGCAAGTTTACTGCTACTCGAAGTTCCTAATTGCAGACTCAACTATCTTGACCTACCGATGATCTAATTTGTGACATTATTACCTTAAGAAAATATTTTCATCTAATTTCCTTTATATATAGGGGTATAAGTTCTTACCAAATATACTCAAATATAAAGTTACTGAGAAAAATGCAAATATTTTCAACACGAATATGGTTTTAAACGGGTCTTTGGGCCATGTGGCGTAACTGGTCATCTAGTGAGCCCAAAAAAGCGGCACGAAGGCCTCGATTCGAAGGTGGGGTCCGAGCTGGGGCACTACAGCAAGGCGGCGCTCGGCCATCTGGATGACACGCGAGGTGCGGCGGTTGTGCCTGGAGCAGGGGCATCTCCTCGACGCCGGCAGCTCGATGCAGAGCAGGCGAAGCAGGGTCGCTATCGTCGAGCAGCTGCTGACAGCCAAGCAGCGACATGGAGGTGGGGAAGCAGGAGCAAGGCAGGGAGGGCGACGGGCAAGGCGAGAAGGCGACGCGGCGACGCGGGAACGACGGAGAAGGGGGCGCGGAGGATGCGGGGAAGGGGAACAGAGCCGGAGGCGGGAGGGTTCGTCGGCCAGAGGAACCATGCCCAGCGGCGCGGCGGCTCGACCGGAGACGCGCCTGGTGGTCGCCGACGAACTTTGCCCCAGGGACGCGCGGGGTCTGCGAGCTCGGGTGCGCGAGGGGAGGAGCCAGTAGGGTCGAGGAGGTGGGCGCGCGAGGGCGAGCAGGCGGCTGGCGATGGAGAGCATCTCAGGCTCGGTTGAGGAGGACGACGGGTCGCGGGCGAAGATGGCCGTGAGCAGGGGATCGGCGAGGCGCGTCTGTTCTCGCTCTCTCTCACTTGGTGGCGCACAGGAGGGAGGAAGGGATCGACCAGGGCTCTCCCTGGCTCGATGCATGCGTGTGTGGGTGGCGGCAGAGGGGAACGAGAGGGTTTGAGGGGTCGAGTGGCTAGAGTAAGGAGGGTTAGGTGGGCCAGCGCTGGTCGGTTAGGCCCAAGAGGCCGACTGGGCTGCAAGGCTGTGCTCTCTCTCTCCCTCATATCTCTTTTAAGAGAAAAGAATTAGAGAGAAGAAAAGAAAGGGAGGGTTAGGGAAAGGATTTTTTGCAAGGGGGCTACTCTTCCGGACTCATAAAAATGTGCTCGTTCCAAAAAAATTGGAGTGGGCAAGATTGCAAGGTTTAAATTCAAATGTGCTCATTCCAAAAAAATTGGAGTGGGCAAGATTGCAAGGTTTGAATAGGAAGTGAGGGTTGAGAAGGTCCAAAAATGTTGAGATTTTTGGTGGGGCTCCGATAAACAAAGAAAGAAAATGTTGACAAGGTTTGGAGGTCAACTCAAAGCAGAAAAGGCATGGGATTTGTTTGCACGTGTGTTGAGGTTAATTTCAAATTAATGGAATATTTATTAGCTCCCTAAATATTGGGAGGGTATGTTATAAAGAGAAATCACCATGTGAATTTTCTCGATTTAAATGGATCCGAGATCCATTCAATTTATTTGGTTGAGTTTTTAAAATGGGTTGCATGATGACATGATGCAATGCGAATGATGACATGATGAATGCAACAAGCAAACAAATCACACGACGAATCTCGGAGTCCATGGAAGGCATCTTGAGTGCCGGTCTTGGGGCGTCACAATCACATCATTCTCTAATGATGTGATCCTGTTCATTAAATGACAACACATGTCTATGGTCAGGAAACTTAACCATCTTTGATTAACGAGCTAGTCTAGTAGAGGCATACTAAAGACACTCTATTTGTCTATGTATTCACATATGTACTAAGTTTCCGGTTAATACAATTCTAGCATGAATAATAAATATTTATCATGATATAAGGAAATATAAATAACAACTTTATTATTGCCTCTAGGGCATATTTCCTTCTGTATCTTCGCCTCGACTACTTGCTCCATTGCTACGCCGGCATTTAAACCAAACAACAGCGACCCTACATCAAGCCTACCTGCTCGAATACATCAATAAAATCTTAAAAAATCCGCAAGAGAACTTACATGGTTTCGATCATGGTTCATGACATGATTTGCCGACGCTAAAACTAATTTTCACATAATTTGTTTTTAGTGCGGATTGTGCTCTTAATAAAACTCATAAGTAAAATACCGTCTCGATTTTCCAAGGTACCGAAACACCTCATTTCCTTTCTATAATCGTCATCTCATGTTGTATTGATGGCGTCACACAAATGTTCCTCTCCCTTTTTTGATAAAATTCAAAGGTCCCTGCGAGTGGCGGGGCTAGACAAAAGTTGTCGTGGAGGCAAGACAGAATATGACAGTTTAAGGGTCAAAAGCTAAAAATTCCACATCTAGGCCCTCTAACAATAAATTCT